ATATGACTGCAGGCCAGAAGAGGGCACCAGATCTCATTACAGATGGTTGTGAGCCACCCTGTGGTTGCTGGGAATTGAACTCAGGACCTCTGAAAGAGCAGTCAGTGCTCTTAACCTCTGAGCCATCTCTCCAGCCCCCCCCCTTTTTTTTTATTAAACTGATAAGAACAGATACTACACTTGATTTTAGGGCTAGCTCAGCCATTAAAGGCTAGGCTCACAACCAAAAATATAAGACTTTTGTTTTTTATACCCATAAACAAACTAACAAGTTATGTCCTGTTCTTATCAAGCAAAAGACATAATGTCTGTAAACATGGCAATCTTAATTCTAAAGTGCCTAGATTATCTGGGGCGGGGGAGTCAACTTAAATGGAGCCAGGAGGTCATCTGAAGCAGAGGCAAGAAAAGGATTACCCACAAGATGTCTGTCTTATGGTGACTATTGCTGTGATCAAACTCCATGACCAAAGCAACTGAGTGAGGAGAGTTTATCTGATTTATGCTTCCGCATCACTGTTCATCACTGAAGGAAGTCAGGACAGGAACTCAAACAGGGCAGGAACCTGGAGGCAGGAGCTGATGCTGAAGCCGCAGAGGAGTGCTGCTTACTGACTTCTGGCTTGCTCAGCCTGCTTTCTTACAGAACCCAGGACCACCAGCCCAGGGATAACACCACCCACAATGGCTGGGCCCTCCCCCATCAATCACTAATTAAGAAAATGCCCCACAGGCTTGTGTACAGCCAGATCATATGGAGGCATTTTCTCAACTGAGGCTCCCTCCTCTCTGATGACTCCAGCTTGGGTCAAGTTGACAGAACTAGTCAGTATGATGTCTGAGACCTTTATTTCCTTTACCATTCACTGGGCCCTTCACTTAGGATAAACCTTCTTTTCCTTCAGGCAAGTCTTTTTCCCCCTCATAGAGGCCATTCTGTCTAGAAGTCAGCAGAACTCCTAACTGTAAGTTTGGAACTTAGCAGTTTGGGTCCACTCGAGCTCAGACAGACGTATGATTTTATTTTACTGTTTGATAATTTCATACATAACTGTAGTGTGCTGTGATCAAACCCCTCCCCATCACCTCAGCACCTTTCTCTTCAGGTTCAGGTGTTCTTCTTCTACATCCACTGAGGCTACTTAGTGCTGCCAGGCTAGCAGAGATGGGTGCAGGCCATTTACTGGAGCGTGGGCAGCCCCTCAGTGGCTGCATTTCTAAAGAAAATGGACTCTCCCAGCAGCTGTCGCTGGCCAGCTGCTCCTGCCCTCCTCCGGGACTTCATGACTCACTTGCTTTTGCCTTGGTCTTGTGCGTGCAGCCACGGCAGCTGAGTTTGTGGGTGGGATGAAGGCCTCTTGTCTGGGACACCAGTGTCGCAGCAGTCATCCCTACCCCTGGCTCTGACAGTCTTTCCACCCTCTCTTGTGCAATGCTCTCTGAGCCCAGAGAGGAAGGGTGCCCTACAGATTTCAGTCAGGGATGAGCGCTCTGAGACACTTCCTCTCAGACAGAGCATTGTTGTGTATTGGTTGAAACATTTTATCTTCCCAACAACAGAGACCTCAAACTGAAGTGCTGTGAGCAGCACAATGATGATAGCTACAGCTCCAGGGCATGCTCAGAGCACTCAAATGGTGAGAAAAGGACTCCTATCACTCCCCACTTCCATCCCTGCTTTTCATTCCTTTCTCAAGCCAGACGGCGCTGGAAGCTGCAGGGCACAATGTGATGGAGGGCCAGTATCTTCTCAGGCAGCCACACTTCAGGCCACAAGAGAGAGGATTAACACAATCCATTTTCCCAGAAGTCCCCATGAAAATCCCATTGGCTTGTCCTTCATAGGCCATCTTTCAACCAATTTCTGTAATCAAGATGATGAGTGTCCTACAGGTTAAAGTTCACTGGAGCTGAAGGGAAGAATCATCTGTAACAAGTCCATGTGGCTGAACATGGATGGAAAGATGAATTGCTTATAAAATACACAATGCTTTGGGCAGGAAAAACAGGAAGTTCATCAATGCATTGTACTGAGATAGCACAACGTTGCTGAATGAAGGCTTCATTTATTCAAACAAAAATCAAATGTAGCACCCCACTCCCACCTTTGGCACATAGGGCATGTATGTGGACCCCAGTCTGATCTGGGAGATCTACACTTAGCACTATGTAACAGTCCAAGTTAATCTATGAAGCTGACTATTAAAATTCATCTTACTTGTGACATCTAGTGTCCAGTGATGGTATTGGCTGCACTTGATCCAGGGCATTCCTAAACAGTGACTTAGCTATGTCCAAAAGATAAAAGCCAGGACAAATTGACTTTAAAGACCATAACTGACTTTTATTTATGATGCTAAGATAAGGCAACTCTCTGAATCAGAAGTTCAAACAACTCCTTTAAACAACAAGATCAGGCAGTGTTTGTGACAGGAAACAAGTGAAGTGTAGAGACAGCTTCACTGGTCCCAGCTCAGCATTTACTGATTTGAATCATCTGCCCACTGATGATGGCCTTGGAGCTTAGTTATTCGTGTGCCCATTACCACAAGTGACTCCATGTTACTTTCATGTAGTGGGCCAGTGTAGAGGCCTAGCTCAAGTCAGTGTTCTCCTATAAACTCTAGTTAACAATTGCAGGGTGAGTGGCTTTTAAGACTGTGAACATGGTCTTTTCCCTTTGAATTCATTCTTCCTTAGGTTCACCATTTTTCAAGGCTCTGCTTAGGGCCACTAGATTGGTAATTTTTAAAAAATGAATATCCAAACCAAAAAAAAAAAACACAACACTTTTCCTCTCATGTAGGGGCATGTATTATTCATGTCCATATGAATTTAAACAGCCCTGATCTTAAATATATATTAAATATATGTAAATAATACACTATATTGTGGGCAACCCCTAGATGGTACATTTTATCACAGCCTCCCAATGTCTACCTCACTTAATCCGTTACATGAGAGATGATATATGATTTACCATCTTTTAAAACAGAGGAGAAAAAAAGGAGTTATTTGGCTCCTGGGTCAAGGAATTTGAAAATAATAGGGGAAATAGAATTTGCTTTATTTAATCAAGAACTCAGTGATGACTAAATATGCTTGAAGGATCATTGTTGCTTATCTTAAAATTCAGTTCACTCCTTTAAAGCCTAGTCTAGCTCCATCAGAAATACAGGTCTACACGTGAATATGAAGACAGGGAATCAAGGGGTATGGCGCATCAAGACATTAAAACTTAATGGAGGCATTCAACTCCGCCAAATGCAGAAAAGGGGAAGAGAGGATATCGACTACCAGACAACGCAGGAAAGAAATCACTGGGGTGCTGTGGTACAGTTCAGATTTGGTCTGAATGTAAAAAAGAAAAAAATCACTGGTGATGTTGTCAAGAGATAATTCACTGTACTGGTTTAAGACCAGACCTCAGTTGATGGGAATACCAAAACAATAGAAGAAACTAATCCTAGTGTAGTTGTCTGTTTTTTTTTTTCCTCTTTTGGCTCTTTGGGGAGCCACACCCCAGCTCCCAAATAAATATAAATTGAGACTTATTCTTTCTTATGAATGCCTGGCCTTAGCTTAGCTAATTTCTAGCCAGCTTTTCTTAAATTATCCCGTCTATCTTTTGCCTCTAGGCTTTTTACTTTTCTCTATTCTGAGTATCTTTTCTTTCCTTCTTATTCCATGTCTGGGTGTGTAGCTGGGGGGCTGGCCCCTTCTTTTCTCGCTCCTTGATCTTCTCCCAGATTTCTCCTACTATTTATTCTCTCTGCCTGCCAGCCCCACCTAGCCTTTCTTCTGCTTTGCCATGGGCCGTTCAGCTCTTTATTAGACCAATCAGGTGCTTTAGACAGGCAAAGAAACACAAATGCAACATAAGAGTGCAACACATCATTGCTTTATCAAACCAATGTTCCACAGCATAAACAACTGTAACACATCTTTAACTAATATTCTACAACATCCCAGAGCTCAGGAGGCAAAGACAAGAGGATCTTCGTGAATTCAAGGCCAGCATGGTCTGCAGGGAAAGTTCCAGGACAGCCAGAGGTACATGGAAACCCTGTCTCAAAAATCATCATCATCATCATCATCATCATCATAGTAATAATAGAAACTGAATAGTGAAAGGCTTTTTTTCATTTTGTTATATAAAGAAAAACGAAATGGGGTTGTGGTTGACTGGAGTCAGGGAAGTTTTCATTAAATTTTGCAAGGGGAGTCATTTCAGCACCTTCGTCTACTGGTGGGGAGGATTCAGCACAGCAAAACATGACGATAAAAGAGACAGAGCCAAGTCCTTAGATAAACAAGAAATGATGCCATGTACCAGGTACTAGAACTTTCCAGATTTCCAAGTGCTTACATTTTTAAAGAGTAAGCACATTTACAAGACATTTCCATTTGAACACGGATGCGCCCCAGCTGTCCTGCCGAGCAGCTGGCGTTCGTTTGAACAGCAGTTCCACTACTTTGACAGGTCACGTTTCTTTGGGGGAGGCCTTGATTTCCTCTGCAAACTGAAGGATGCCGTGGACTTGGCAAGATGGTTTGCGGGTCTACCCGGGAGGATCCGTGTGGAATGTGGCACTGTCCTGGCACGGCTGAGACGAAATGCCTTCGCTGCAGGAGGTGACAGCAGGCAGGCCAGTGTGGGGCTGACAGTGTCGCTGGGCCACAAGGGGGAGGGGGTCAGTCCCACACTGGCCTGCCTGCTGTCGCCTCTCTGTGGCCCGGCGACACTGCCTCTACAATGGCGCTGCTAAAGACGACAACAAATAAATAAAACCCAGAAACACAATTCACTTAAAAGTAGACACTCAGCGGAAAACAACAACAACAAAACCAAAACAAAACCAAAACCCCCAAAACAGCTCACGGAAGAACTGACCAGGAGGAAAGCCTACGCCTTGGGCGCGCCGCACGCGCCTGCGCAGTCGCTGCGAGTCGCGGCTCTTGTTTGTCTCGGAGGCGCGGATTGGACAAGACATCTCGTGAGACATGCGAGTTCTCGCGGGAACAATTTTCAAAAAGAACCCCGGCTCTTTAGCAGTGGTTCTGCTGAATGAACAGGACGGTTTTTCTGTGCTGAGGTGGATGTAGTGTCACGAATCCGGGCGCCCAGAGCTTTCTGGACGGGCCTCTGGTTGCAGCAGCTGGGAGGTGTGAGGAGGGAGGTAAGGGCGAGCCGGGGGAGGGGAGAACCGGGCGGCCGCAGGCGAAACGCCTGCTCTCCCGGAACCTGAATTCTCAGGAGTCGCTTTCCAGGTCGGTGTAGTCTTCGGTCGGACCGCCTCGCTGCCCGCTCGGCTGCTCCTAAATACGGGTACCGGGTGGTCTTGATACCCAGTTCAGTAAACTCCGGGTAGGAGTTCTCCAGTACCACGATCCCTAGCCAGTGGAACACACACACAATGGATTCTCAATGTAGCATCTCATTGTATTTATTTAACAATGATTAGAGTTTGCAATGGTAACATTTTGGATGTATCAGGTTAAATGTTTTCCACCGTGCTTACTTTTGAAGATGTGGCCCTCAGAAAGTTTAAAACCCCAATTGGCTCACATGGTATTTCTGTTGATGCCTAGTCAGCGTTCGTACGTTGTCAGCTTTAATTCGTCTAGTTAGAAGCTTTTGACTGTTCTTATAGATAAAACAAGGTGTTTACAAAACAATGCAGTGGGTCAGTGGTGGAAGTGGGCTTAGAACTCAGGTAGCTCACCCACAGCTTCTTGTTAATGCCTTATGCAGGTTGTGTTTTTGAAAGGTTGGGCCAAAAAGTGGTTAGAACATCAGGCTTTGGAGCTCCACTTTGATTTCTATGTCATTTATTCACATCCTGTATCACCTACCCTTCTCTCTCAAATCTATCCCAGTCAGGCTTTCAGCCCACTTCTACAGAACAGCCCTTGGGCCAGTGGTCTGCCTTCATTGAAATCCAGTGGACAGTACCGTGCTATTGTTGATTAGAGGCGTTGTCTTACAGATCAGGACTAAAACCTAATATCCCTTTGGTTTTATATGACAGTAGTGTTAAACTATGTACTTCTTCTCTTGCTCTGATATCACTGCATTTAGTTCCAGGCTCAGCTCAAGTGGTTGCATTTTCTCTTTATAGTAGACTGAGAACAGCAAGCATGGAGGCAGATATCATGGATCTCCGAAACAAACTCAAAGAGTGTGAAAAGGAGCGACTGAAAGCTGCACAGTATGGCCTGCAGCTGCTGGAGAGGCAAACGGAACTGCAGAATCAATTGGATAAGTGTCACGAGGAAATGATGACCGTGACAGAGGTAGGATCCTGAACACCTGTTTAGAAGAATGTGCTTGCCGGGTGGGGGTGGCACATGCCTTTAATCCCAGCACTAGGGAGGCAGAGGCAGGTGGATTTCTGTGAGTTCAAGGCCAGCCTGGTCTACAGAGTGAGTTCCAGGAAAGGCCCAAAGCTACACAGAGAAACCCTGTCTCGACCCTCCCCCCCAAAAAAAAGGAGGAGGAGGAGGAGGAGGAGGAGGATGTGCTTAGGGACTATAAACTTGTTTTGTCTAACAATTATTCATTCTTTTTTGAAGACCTAAATCTTACCTACCCCAGTTCCATTGAAAAAGAGAATGAACTAAATGAATTTCCAGTGTTCTTTCCATCAGTGTGCTCTGAGTTTGAAAAGTCAAATAACATTTGCTCCGTTCGATGCCTTTACTGCCAGGCTTTGTTTAGTCTGCGCTGGACTGAAGTGACCTCACTTCTTTCCTAGTTCTAAACATCTAAATGCTCCGTGGCATCTCACCAAGCCTTTAGTTCTCCCTGAAGGCTAAACTAGTGTATTCAAGTACCTGCCGTTAACGGACATCTCAAGCTTGACACAGAAAGAACAGCTCGTCCCCTGTCTGCTAACTGAATGGTTTCTTGATTTAGTAAATGGATTGGCATTCATCCAGTTGCTTGAGCCTCAAGTCAAGAAGTCCCACATTTTATCCATTAACAAATCTAAGGACTCAACTTACTTATTAGTTATCATTTCTATTGCTGTGATGAAACATGACCAAAAACTGCTTGGGGAGGAAAGGGTTGATTCCATCTTACAGCTTGTAACCCATCATCTAGAGATGTCAGGGCAGGAGCCTGGAGGCAGGAACTGCAGTAGAGGCCATGGAGGAGTTCTACTCACTGGCTTGGCCAGCCTGTTTTCTGATACTATCCAGGACCACATGCCCAGGGGTGGCACCACCCACAGTGAGCTGAGCCTTCCCACATCAGTCATTAACCAAGAAAATGCCTCACAGACTTACCTGCAGGCCAGTCCTATGGAGGCATTTTCTCGGTTAAGATCTCCTCTTCCCATGTATGTCTAGGTTTGTGCTAAATTGTTTAAAAAAAAAAAAAAATCCAACTAGTACAACCAAAGCATCTGCCTGGGGCACTGCTGCTCTAGCCCAGAGCACGGCCATCTTTTCACTGAACTGCTGCTGCAGCCTTCTAACTGGTTGCCAGCTTCTTCCATCACTACCATTCAGTCTTCACCCATCCAAGTGGTCATGAGAAAAAATACACAAGAAGTCTCGTTTCTTTCCTTCTGAAAACCTTACGGGGCTTTCTGTTCTATTTTCGGCTGAATCTGAGCTCTTTGCTTGGGTGTGCACCCCTGTGCTTTGGCCTCTGCCTAACTTATCGCCACCTCTCAAACCACTTTCCTTCCGTCTTTCTTACACTGGCTTTATACTAGACGCTTCTTCCCCTGGAGTGACTTGTCCCTGCGCTTCTTGATTCCGTCCTCAACCTCAGACTTTCAGTGAAATGTATTTTAGCAGAGCAAACACTGACTGTGATGTAAAGTTGTCAGATTTGCTCTTAATTCTCCGGAGTGCTGATTGTCTCCAGAGTTGCAAACTACATGAGAGGAAGTTTGGCTGCTCTGACTCACTGATACACCCCTGTTGCCTGGCACACAAATATTATTAAAACAACTAAATCAGTTTAATACTAAATGCTTGGTGTTTTACCTTTGAATCTCAGAGGTTGGAATATAACAGGTACAAACCACTAACGCAGTTGTCATTTTTCCACATACTTGATAAGCCCTCAATGCCAGATCATAAAGCAAAGATTACAAACCTCAGAGTGGAAATAAAGTTGCACAATTGTTTTGAAAATATCTCACCAAGTTTAGGTTTCCTTTGAAATAGAGGAGCTTTGAGGGGAGTGATGTAAATAATTCTAGCTGTTTTTTCTTAATTTCATTGAATTTTATTTATCTTTGTTTTGTTGTATTTAACGTTTTCACTTATTCTTTGAATTTTTTTACAATATATTTTGATCGTGTTCTTTCCCCACCTCCCCTAGCTCTTCCCAGATTCTCTCCACCTCCCCACCCAACTTCATGTTTTCTCTCCCTTTAAGAAACACGCAAACAACAACCATGGAGTGCAGTTTGTGTTGAATGATGACTCCTGGGTGTGGGTTGTATCCTAGGTTGTGGTTGACATATCCATTGTCACTCCACTGGGGAAACTGCTTTCCCCTCTCCCAGCAGCTGGCAATGCAGATAGCTTCTCGGTTAGGGGTGGGATTTGTGCCCTCTTCCCTGCCTCTGTGGTGGAATGTAGTCGGAAGGTTTCTCTGGTCTCGCCTGGCTCCAAGGTCCCATAGCCACTTACAAAATAATCATTCAGAGGTTTAATATTAATTACCAATTGCATGGCCTATGGCGGGCTTCTTGCTAGCTAGCTCTTATAACTTGACCCATTTCTTTTATCTGTAAGTTGCCGCATGGCAGTGGCTTAATGGTATTTTTACATCTTGCTTCTCCTGGCAGAGCTGGTGTCTCTTCCACGTCTGCTTTTCTTTTTCCTGTCTATCTGCCTGGATTTCCTGCCTGCCTCTAAGCTGCCTTGCCATAGGCCAATGTAGCTTTACTGAGGGGTCAGGCAGGACTGGAGAAGCCTTCCAGCTACAGTGGAATTTTGTCTGCCTGGAGTTTATGAAGGGCGTGCACGTGATGTCATAGTTCCCGTGAGTTCATTATGTGTGTTTGCCCTGTTGTATGTGAAAAATGTTCTTTCCTTGAAGTCATCTACTACCTCTGGCTCTTAAAGTCTTTCTGCCCTCTCTTCCAAGTGGATCTCGGAACCCTGAGGAGAGGGTGTGATATAAGACATCCCAATTAGGGCTGAGCATTCCAGAGTCTTTGACTCGCTGCCTGTTTTTTAAGTCTCTGAATTAATCACCATTCACTGTGAGATCCTCCCTGATGAGAGTTGAGTGACATACTGAACTTTGGGTATAGCAGTATGTTATTAGTTGTTCTATTGCTGTGTTCATTTAGCAGAATAATAATGGTAGGTTTTCCCCTGGGGCCCATGACCTATCTAGCCTCAGGTTCTTGGCCTCACTGACAGTGTCAGGTATGGGTTTCATCTTATAGAAGGAGATGGGAGGGCTCAGATCCAAGTAAAAAGGTGGGTGATTATCCCCCTAACATTCAAGCCACTATTGAACTTGTAGGCCTGACTTGTAGGCAAGTCATTAAATTGTGGTTTACTGGGCTTGTGAGTGGGCAAGATCGATCATTACTTTTCTCCTCTGATGTTGTACATAGCACTTTTCATCACTATGAACACTAGCCAGTAGCATGAAGCTTCTAGCTGGATGCCAGCTAGATTTCTCCATGTTGGGTCTTATGGCAAATTGTGGAGGGCAACCAACTGTAACACGAATTCCTAAACTGGCCTTTTAATTAAAAACCTGGAGCGCCAGATATTGGGGATAAATGCTGAAAGAGCAGAGAGACAAAGGAACAAGCCACTGCCATGTCTTACCCCTGGGACTCCTCAGCTTGAAAAGCTCTCCAGCTGAAAAGGGCTTTAGTTCCTGTCTCCTCAAGCCTTATATACCTTTCTCTGCCCAGCGTCACTTCTTTCCTAGTACTGGAACTAATGGTGTGTATGCTTTCCAAATACTGGGATTAAAGGTGTGATATCTCAAGTGCTGCGATTAAAGGTGTGTGACTCCCAAATATTGGGATTAAAGGTGTGTGCCACCATTGCCTGGCTCTGTTTCTTTCCTAGACTGAGTCAATCTCATGTAATACAGGGTGGCTTTGAACTCACAGAGATCTAGACGGATCTGTGGCTCCCGAGTGCTAGGATTAAAGGTGTGTGCCACCACTGCCTGGCCTCTATGTTTAATCTAGTGGCTTGTTCTGTTCTCTGATCTTTAGGCACATTTTATTAAGGTACACAATATGCCACCACAACCAATAGCACTGGTAATATTTCCTGTAATGTTGAGGGAGGGCATGTGTGGGACCCCACTGGCCAACAACTCAAAAATGTGTAACCCATTCCTGGTGTTAGGTTTTACTTGGTAGTATATGATGTCTGATTTGGATATTGCACCTGCCCCCAAATAGATGGAAACACCATTTAAACTCCTTTTGTAGATGTATACATGTCAGGATGCTTTTACAGTCATTTCTTTCAAAACTCTTTCAGGGTTGTCCCTCCCCATAATCCCTTCTCTAGCCTGCCTTGTCTTTTTTTTTAATTGAGAATGTTTTTTATTCAGTTTACATACCAACCACAGGTCCCCCTTTCTTCCCTTCTCCTGTTCTCCCCCCCCCCCCAACTTCCCTCCAGTTCCCTCTGAAAAGGTAAGGCCTTCCATAGGGAGTCAGCAAAGCCTGGTACATTCAGTTGAGGCAGGATCAGAACCCTCCCCCCTGCATCAAGGCTGTTCGAGGTATCCCACCATAAGTAATAGGCTCCAAAAAGCCAGCTCATGCACCAGGGATGGATCCTGATCCTACTGCCAGGGGCCCCTTAAGCAGACCAAGCTACACAACTGTCTCGCTTATGCAGAGGCCTAGTCCAGTCCCATGCAGGCTCCACAGCTGTTGGTCTAAGTTCATGAGTTCCCACTAGCTTGGTTTGGTTGTCTCTGTAGGTTTCCTCATCATGATCTTGCTGCCCCTTGCTCATAGAATCCCCCTTCCCTCTCTTTGACTGGACTCCTGGAGCTCAGCCTGGTGCTTGGCTGTGAATCTCTGCATCTGCTTCCATCAGTTACTGGATGAAGGCTCTATGATGACAGTTATGATATTTGTCTTATGTTTTTAAAAAAACATTTAGAAGGAATTACAGTTCCTTTTTTTAACCTTAGTATGTTTGCATTCTGTGGTTGGTTTGTAAATGGTTTTTACAACACTCTGAAAGTAAAGGTTAAATTCAGTATTTTTCCTTTTTACCCATTCTACCCCCCCAAGACATTATATAAGGAAGAACATTTAATTTTCAAACAGTAATGCTTACTAGGAACATGTGGGTGCTAGTAAAGCATCCTTGTTTTGTTTTTCTTTCAGCAGGGATTGATAGACCGTCATGCTGTGGGTTTTTATCAGATAGTGAACTGAAGCAATTGCCATGACTCTAGCACAGACATTAACATACTCCCCCATCTGCAGTTGGACTTTACAGTACAGTTGTCCGTAAATAATACATGGGAATTCCATATCATAGGATTTATAAAGCTGAAGTGGATGCATCCCACCTGGGACAGGAATCACTGTCCAGGATCCTGAAGCCGATGGTGCTCCTCTCGACGATTTCTTGTCAGGTCATTATCATGTAACACTGTGTCATCGGGCCTTACACTGGCCACACCTCATCTCTGTCATGTGGGTATTACACTGTCTTGCATCATAAGAACAGTAAGATTTTGAGAGAAAAATGGCACATAACTTTTTAATTTGCTTTTTATATTATTGGCTATATCTTTAATTTCTTTTTTTTTTTTTTTTTTTGGTTTTTCGAGACAGGGTTTCTCTGTGTAGCTTTGCGCCTTTCCTGGAGCTCACTTGGTAGCCCAGGCTGGCCTCGAACTCACAGAGATCCGCCTGGCTCTGCCTCCCGAGTGCTGGGATTAAAGGCGTGCGCCACCACCGCCCGGCTATATCTTTAATTTCTTACTGTGTCAAATTTAAAATTAAATTTTGTCTGGATAAATACTGTATATGGAGGAGGAGTGTGTGGTATTTGTGGGGTTTGGTACTGTTTGAGGATCCAGGCATTAGGCTGGGGTTCTGGAACATAACTCCTGCAGATAAGATGCAAATGACATCTGCTGCTGTGTTGGAGTTTGGATGCCTGGCACAATGTGATTGTTGAACATGCTTCCCCTCTGTTCTGTGCATCACAGCATCTGGTACCCATGAGCATTTCCTACCTCTACGTTGAAAACCTGCTCATACATCCGTTCCCTTGGAAAGCCTCCTCTTCCAGGTTTTCCTGTGTTCTACTATGTAACATCCTCTGCCCTCTGACATTATGCACTGTCTCTTATCTTAGTCATGGTGATATAGGCTCTCATAAAACATTCCACCCGATAGATAATGCCATAGTGGTAAGTCTACTCAGTTGTTGAAATAATAAGGATTATATTAGTCAGAATTATGGTGTGTACTTGAAAAGAATTCTTAGCTGTCTTGGAGTCTCTGTGTTGGGCACTTAGACTTAAGAATGTGGCATATGCATATTCCTTGAAGGCATAAACATGAGAGATTTTCTTTTAATCACTTCATAACTCCTTGGGATTCTTTGCATAATATTAAGTAGAATTAAATTTCTCCTTGGTCCTCCATATAGTGTTTGCAGGATCTAGTTCTAAAAAAAGCCTCCTCTCAGCCCACCCTTGTCCTCAGTACCGATCACTGTGACTGACAGTTTTTAAGTGTGTGTCTGTTCTAGACTGATCTTGAGGTTAGGCGCCATGTTTTATCTATCTCTGGGTTTGTTACCTGGCACATTTGCTGGCTGTTTAAGTGAGCATGGAATGGAATGGACAGTTGTTGGGAGGACAGCTGACTGTTTTTGTAAGGTGGGTACAGTGATTCTGGTATTGCACTACCAAAGGTCCCTTTACTTTTTCTTGTCTCTCAAGTGGATTTTAATTTTGGAAAGATTCTGTTGTTGTACTGTATTAAGTAAAAGGTAATTTTCCTAATAATCAGTCAAATTCCTAGTTTTTGATGAGCTTGAGATAAGACTTGGCTGCTACCGTGATGGTTGATATTTAGCCAAGTGTAAGAATTTTTCAGGAAAGTTTTATCACTCATCAGTATGAAGGTTCATTGAATTTGGAATCCAGAGAATGCTTCCTCCATTATCATTTCCTCTGCTGGCTGTAAGGGCACCAGAGACCACAGATTGGGAAGCAGAAGTCAGTAATTTCCTGGGACCAGCGCCTTTCTATCTTCAGCTTGACTGTTTTGAGGCCACTGCAATCTCCATTTTTTGGGGTTCATTAGGACTGATTAGCAGGCTTGAGCTCATAGCTCATTTGGTAAAATGCTTACCTGAGTTAGTTCCCAGAACCCTTACTTAAAAAGCTGACATGTTGGTACATGCTTATCAATTCTAGTGCAGGAGAGGCAGAAATAGGTGGATCCCTGGGGCTCAGTTCACTGGCAGGCTCACCTAGTCTACTTGGCAGGCAAGTTCTAGGTCAGTGAGAGACTCTGTCCCCAAAATAAGATGGTCATTGCCTGAGGAACAACACCTGAGGCTGTTGTCTGTCCTACACTAACACACATGTACATGTGTGCTTGCCCACGTGAACATGCGTGTAACCCTGCCCACACCCCAGAAAAGTAAAAAACTGATAACTGCATTATTCCCAAGTTGACAGGTGGTTGTTATTTAGATGGTAGCAAATGAAACAGGTATGAGCCAGTTTAAGATGCTAACTAATACCTAATGACTTAAGTTTTTTAATGCAATGAAGTGTGTTTTCAGAATTATAACCAAGAGAAGTATGCTCTACAAAGAGAAGTTGAGCTCAAGAGTCGGATGTTGGAAAGTTTGAGCTGTGAATGTGAAACTTTGAAACAACAGCAGAAGACGCAGCTGGAGCAGCTGGAAATGCAGCTGAACAGAAGCCACAGGCAGGAAGTGAGCGGCCTGAAAAACAAGGTTTGGATCTGTGTCCGCAAAACAGCCTGTGTTGTTTAGATGCCTGTGAGCCTCGGGGGCGGGGAGTTGCTCAAGGACTAGCTGTGCAAAAAGGCCAGAGATCAGTTTCCTCTAGCTTCATGTTCTGAGTGGAAACACTGAGAAATAAGCTACGAAAGGAATTTGTGTACGTACTAGCCTTCTAATGACGTGAAATTATTTATTTAATTATTTAAATTGGGTATTGAATATTTGTTTTTGGAATATTTGTAATATTGGTGATCAGTATGGCCTCCTTATAGCATGTGGTGTGGTTCACCTTGCAAGAGAACTAACTAGTCCTGTAGCAGTTCCTGCAGTTAGTAATGTGCTGCTACTCCGCATACAAACCAGTACTGTCTGGTGAGTTAATGTGCTTTAGAGGTGAAACAAGTGTTTATGAAAGAAAAAGTTAGGGAAGATCCAGTTTCTGAACAAAGCTTGTGAAGGATGTCGTCTTATCTCCATGGTGACGGAACAGGATGCTAATGGCTGGCAAACAGGAACTAGAGCTGTCAGCTGCTATTTGACTGCGGCTGTCGGGCAGTAAGTCCCGGGACTGAACTTGTGCCGTGCTCTGCTGCTGATTCCTCATGTGCTGGCTCCGCTGTAAACAGGGCAGCTGTTCAGTGAGCGCCCTTCACTCTCAGAACCCCCGGCTGCCCTGGACCTCCAGTTTCCTCCAAGAAGTCTAGGGCTCTGCTTATCCTTCTCTTCATGTGCAGTTTGTGCCCTGTTTTTTGGGGGTTTTTGTTGTTGTTGTTGTTGTTGTTGTTGTTGTTGTTAGTTTTTCAGATCCTACTCTATGAAAACTTGATAAGATTTCTTTAATGCCCTATTTTCTCAGAAGTCTGTTTTTCAATTTTTAGTATTTTTATAGTGTCTTTTAATAGTTTTCCATGTCTGTTTCCACCTATAATTTTTATTAAACTACAACATAATTTTCCATTTGAATAATGGTATCGGTGAAATCATATTTAAGTAAATAATGCTTTTGTATAATACAGAATCATCTTGCCTGTAGCTCTGACAGGTAGTAATCCTGTTTGCAGCTAATCTGATTAGAGACATGGGTAACTGGAAATGATGTATTCTTGTCTTTCATTCCTGCATGGATTTAGCAGTCGCCCTAATTACCTAAGCAGATATGATAGAGGAAATATTTGGGACTAGGTAAAGCAAAGATAATTATAAAGATGATAATTATAAAGAATTCTTTTTATTGAAGAAAGAGTAAATATTAAAAAATGGTGTTGCCGATATTCTCAAACCATTTGTTTTAAAATTCTCAAGGTTTACTCATTATCTTTGTCTTATTTCTCATGTTGAATCTGTCACTGAATTCCAAGAGTTGACCTATAAGATCTCTCGGTAGCTCCTGTCCCTGTAGTCCAGACCATCATCACACTGCTGTGGTCTTCTAATCAAGTTACCTGCTTGTGTCGTCGTTACCCATGTCTCTTCTTAAGGGCTGGGGATGAGGACTGCTTCCCGTTCTTTACAGCTGCCTGGTATTTGGTTATACCACCTTCAGTTGCCTCTAAACAAATCAGGTCTACTTGGGTGACTAGTGTGGGTTATTCCTGAATTTCTAGAATAGTATAGGTCACTGTTTAAAAGACGCTTAGTGGGTGGGGATGTAACTTGGTGAGAGATGTTTAACTTGCAAACCCAAGACCCTGTGTTCAGTTCCCAGCACTGCGGTGGGGAGGGAGAGGTGCTTTGCTCATGTCACTGAGATCCAGTGAGTTTCTGTAGAGTAGCATCTGGAAAATCAGGTGCTGTGAGCACTGCAGTGGGGAGGGAGAGGTGCTTTGCTCATGTCACTGAGATCCAGTGAGTTTCTGTAGAGTAGCATCTGGAAAATCAGGTCTAGACTCTAAATACAGTTTCAGGATGGAAAGTCAAAGGAACTCAAGGAACCCTCAGTTCAAAGGTTGTGCCTCTTTCTCTTTTCCTGATTTAGTTAGAGAAACTGAAAGTGGAACTAGATGAAGCAAGGTTAAGTGAAAAGCAGCTGAAGCAGAAGCTGGATCACCAAGAGGAAGTTCTCGCTCGCAAATCGGAAGAGCTCCGGCTAATGTCTGAGCAGCGCATGGGCAATAGCATGTCTTCGGAGGTGCTGGCTCTTCAGATTGAGCTAACTGAAATGGAAGGTGTGAAGGTAATTTATATTTCAGGTGTTTCCTCATTTTACTTTAGAATCGTTCTGCATGTTCTTAGAACATGTTGTAGTTGTTCTCAAGAAGCAGTTTGAGGACTGAAATGGTTTTGGATGTAACCAAAAAGCACTCTGCAGAGTTTTCAGGTGGATTAATTCATTCATAAAATAGTTTTCTATTTCATGATTACTTAAGGCAGATTTTACATTATGGAAACTCTGGAACCATTTATAGGCTTTTATTCTGATATTGGTTTGGATCATAAAAGCCCAATATACAGTGTTAGCATAGTGGAAATTAAAATGCATGTCAATATAGATTTTTCATTTCAAATGTGGATAATTAAAATTCAAAGGAAAAAGGGGCAGTTTCCAAGGTATTTTCATTGGCTTTCTGCCAAAAATTTCATTAATTAAAAACCTTTTAAAATTTTCTTGGCAGTCTTTGAATGGTTTTGTTTTAATATGAGGTGGGAGCCAGTAGATGAATCAGCTGCTGTGTGAGAGATTATTCACGAGAACTCTGTATTCGTGTTGAATAGGCTGCTCTCAAGGAAGAGGTGGATGAACTGCAGTACAAACAAGAGCAACTGGAATGCTTCAATACTTCCTTAATGCACCAGGTAGACCGGCTTAAAGAAGAAAAAGAGGAGCGAGAGAAGGAAGCGGTGTCGTATTATAACGCCTTAGAGGTATGGTGAGAGTGCTGTCATGCTTCCAGTTAGTAACCCAGCGCCCTCTTGCTGATCTCCGCCAGTGAAACTGTTTGCCTTTCAATCTAGAAAGCTCGCATAGAAAATCAAGATCTTCAGGTGCAGTTGGGTCATGCCCTTCAGCAAGCCTTGGATCCCAACAGTAAAGGAAACTCCTTGTTTGCAGAGGTACTTACAAGTGTTCTCATGACCAAATTGACTAAATTGGCGTTTCATTTACTACAAGAACAAACACATTAATATTTTCCAGGTGGAGGATCGGAGGGTGGCTATGGAACGCCAGCTCAACTTGATGAAAGTCAAGTATCAGTCAATGAAGAAGCAAAATGCATTCACCAGAGAGCAGATGAACAAAATGAAGGTATAGACTGGTAAAGGCTTTACGTCTGCTTTGTCTTAGCAGCTATATATAGGAAACTGTCTTCCTTCAGGAAGTATTCTATGTAATTATTTGTAGAATGCATGAGTCTTTATATTTCAAACATCACCTTGGGAAGGCAGCTGCAAATTGCTCTAGTGGTTATTCACTGACTCACCAGGTAGACAGTGAGTTGTCTTATCCAGTTGGAATGAGAAATAGTTTATTATTTTTTGTGCATAGCATGGTGTGTTCTTGAGCATAACACTGTTTCCTATGTCATCTAGACTTAACTCTCTCACCAGCTCTCACATGAAGGCTTATTTTTATTGAACTCTGTACTCCTCATGGCCTCTTAGCCCTGCAGCTCACTAGGTCAAGTAGACTGTCTTCCTTTCCTCATTACAAGAAGCTTAGGGCAGTGAGAAAGCACCAGTCCTCACTGCACCCGTCCTTTGGGTCTGACCCTCCCCGCTGTGCCCAGTGCTGCTGAGGTAGTAATGGATTGCTAGACAGGCTCCCTCCTCAGTTTCCCTCCATAAGTGTTTTACCAAAACCATGAGGAAATTCAGTAATCAAACTTGGGAGTTAGATGAGCCTCTTGAGATGGGATGTTCATTTTTCATGTTGTAAATAGGAAGGTGCTAGCCAAAACCTGCCTTGTAGAGTTGTCCTGGACTTAACATGTAGTAAAACATTTACCCATCCTTGTTGTTAGTTTCTGTGAGTAACTTAACAATTCCCCACTCACTTACAAATTCTAGAAGACCCCCAGTCGACTTATAGTGTTAATTCAAGTGACGAGTAGCAGGTGATGTTTGGCCAGGCTATGTACTGTCTGAATGGCATGCTGCCCGACCTCAGCATGTGCATTTCACAGACACATCAATAATTATGGTAAAGGCCTCCGATAACATAAAAGTAGTCAAAATAAGTACTTGAAAGTTACCCACAACAAAACTTTTGATGCAAATGTTTTCAGATTATGAGATGAAAAAGAACTCTTTACTTTCCAGGCTGAATTCAGATCAGTGGCTCACAAGACAGGAATTATACCAGAAGTATGCTTCCCAGGATCTTGATTGTGATTTTGGGGGTGGTTGTTTTTCTAGTTACAAATCTCCACATTGCTGAGGATGAGGGGATCTCAAACCGAATTTGAGCAGCAGGAACGGTTGTTTGCCATGTTGGAACAGAAGAATGGTGAAATAAAAGACCTTTTAGGTGAAATTAAAAATCTGGAGAAATTTAAGGTATATGTAACATCTTTTCAAAAATATAGCCAAAGTTTGATTGAAAAATCTCTACATTTTTGGCTTCTATAGTTTATTATGCAGTTACTCATAATTTCAGTATTCCAGTTTCAGTACAAGTTGATCCAATGTTTAGATTTTTTTGGAGCTCACGGCAGTCTTACCTCAGTCTTTTTTTGTAGGATGTGAAGTCAGTCCTGGCATCATTTGTTAAATTTGGCTCCAATGAGATGCCAGGTTTATCGCATAACAAGTTTCTGTGTGTGCATGAGTCTTTCAACATTTTCTATGTTTTGGTTGACCTCTGTACAGCAGTGCTATACTGTTTAAGTTACAGATGTTTTTTAGTATATGTTTTTATTTTTAGACTTTAGTTCCCCTAGTTTTTTCTTCATAGTGTTCTGGTTGCTTTTACATGTTTGCTTTTCTCTTGTCTGATGCACGCACCACACACACACACATACACACACACACTAGAAAGAACTATTTGGTGGTGTTTTGTAGGATTATACTACATTTACAAATTTTCAAAGTTTTTAATTACCTTAGGGAGCATTAGTATCTTTTCATTAAGCATCTAGTAAAAGATTCAAGTTTATATAAGTGACAGATTTTGTAAATATTAATGATCCCTTAGGCATTCTGTATTGTGGCCATTAGTCTGTCATTAAATAGTAAGTTTTATTTCCATCTCTTAGAACTGTGGGAAAAGATGACATTTTTGTTAAATGTGTATGTAGTGTGTTACTGGGCAGTGGTGTGTCTACATGAGCTGATCACCGTACTTTGAAAAGTACATTTTGAAGTTAAGGAGAGTTGGGTTTTTGCACTCTCTAAAATTGTTTGCAAATTTTTGAACAAATTTACCACCACCACCACCCCCACCTCGAGAAATACAAAGAATTTTCTTCAGTAACATCAAGGATTTCCTCTCTGTGTTTTTCCATTTTATAGCCTTTCTCTAAAGTCCAGAATGGAACCCACAGTCATTGCGTCTTCCATTCTAAAAGCTAGGAGAGGGAGCTGTGGGACTGGTGTGGTTGGAAGCCTTAGTTTCAGAACTAAACATGTTATTGTCAGGCCCATGTCACATTGAGCCACTTTCCTTATTTGAAAAGAGAAATGCTTATTCTCCCTACTGCAGAAGGCAGGTGAGTTAAGAGTTAAGAGGGTGGGTCTTAGCTTGGTGACTGTAAACTGGTGAGTTCCAGCTTAGTGGTGTCTGCTGCTGTTACAGCAGACCTGGTCTGTTGTCTACTCTGTGTAATAAGAGTTTTTGCTTTCGTTAGAACTTATATGAAAGTATGGACTCTAAGCCTTCCACATCAGCCAGCCCTGGTACTCTAGAAGACAGCACCTATTATGCAGATTTACTTCAGCTAAAGCTTGATAAGTTAAAGTAAGTGTTTGCGATTGTGAATACAATGATGAAGGGTTTTACTTGCTTATAATAGTATTACTGACTGAGTTTTTTATTTGTTTGTTTTTAATTGTTAAAAATAATCTCCAGAAGAAAGTCAATAAAATATCCTTGTGTAGCATATGAGTTTATATAAAGCATGCATTTCTTTTATGTTTAGCATTAGGATTGGTAAGTGAAACAAACTCTTAAGTTTCTCCATCAAAATTCAAGAATAAATTTCATATAATTCAAAATGTAAAGGGATATGTATATGTGCATTTGGAAAAAAAATTTTCTCCCTCTGTTTCCTTTAAAGAATCCATGAAGTTTTTGTGGGGGGTTGCTTACTTTAATTTACTGTTTCTTTTCTTTATTACTAAAAACTCAGAGAAATGCCTTTTTAATACACAAGACTTAGTTTACCATGTTTACACTATGTACGATTTTAATTCGAGACAGGGTTTCTCTGTGTAGTTTTGATGCCTGTCCTGGAACTCACTCTGTAGACCAGGCTGGCCTCGAACTCACAGAGAGCCGCCTGGCTCTGCCTCCTGAGTGCTGGCATTAAAGGCATGCGCCACCACTGCCTGGTTATTTTAATATTCTTTAATTACTCTTTTCTGTTACTGTAGAAAAGAAAACGAAGGCACAAAGGGTGAACTGTCCATACAGAGAATGAAGGCGTTATTTGAGAGCCAGCGGGCCCTGGATATCGAGCGGAAACTGTTTGCAAATGAAAGGCACCTTCAGCTTACAGAAAGTGAAAACATGAAGCTGAGAGCTAAGCTAGATGAATTAAAGCTGAAGTATGAGCCTGAAGGTGTGTGTTTCGTAGGCTTTTTGTCTTTCAAATCATGACTAGCTCTGAGAAGCGAAGACATGTTTTGTAGCTTTTTACCAGTGTCATCAAAGCTTAACTTGTCATCGTATATCTGTAGTAAAGTTAGCTGTCAAATGTGTAAGAAAATTAAGAGAACTGGTTACCTGAACATGAATATAGTAATGTTTTTTCTTAGGATATCTGAGTTCATCATACTGAACAGCAAGAACTTGAGTTTCTCCCCTTGAAGATTGTAGCATCTCGTGATGTCCCAAAGAGTTATTTTGAGAAAGGATCTCACTGTGCAGCCCAGGCTGGCCTCATACTTCTGCCCTTCTTCACTCTGCCTTCTGAGTGGGATCATAGATACATATGACCATGCACAGGCCAAAGAGTTTCATTGTGTTGAAACAGCTGATACTGGGAACTAGACCGGCTAAGTTTGTTTATAGAAGAACTAAGCAAGGCTTAGGTTTAAGTACTTACCTCCTCCCTCCCTCCCTCCCTCCCTCCCTCCCTCCCTCCCTCCCT